TTTCATTCTTTGATCAGAAGCTTTATTTTTGTACAGAATTGCTATTAACATCTAAGTCGAATAAGGAAGCTACAGTAAAATAGGAAAAAATAATATTTTTCTACTGACATTTCATAATACGCTATTAAACGATTAAAATCTGTTTTATAATGAACTTCATTACGATACAGATTTTCATTATAATACTCATTTTTAATATTATACAATGTTGATAGATGGCAGCACTAGTTAAGATATTAAACATTTTTAACGGTAATTTTGCGTAAAACAATTATTTTGATAACTATAAAAAAGACTTCGAATTGTTTAAAAGTTACCTAAAGTTTGGGACAAAGAATAATTATTATGGAAATAATGAGTGATAAGGAAGAATTTTTACTTTTCTCATTATTATGCATTGTCAATAGATGGCGCCACCAGTTAAGAAATTTTGATTTTTTTTTTTTTTTTTGAATGATGACAGCACTCTATTTATAGCTTTTCCATGGTAATTTAGCGAAAAACAATAATTTCATGAAAAAAATACTTCGAGTTGTTATTAAAAGTTACCTAATGTTTGGGATAAGGCATTATTATGGAAATATTGACTGATAACGAAGAATTTTCACTAACACCTCCAGAAATTACAGAAAGGGCGACAAATGCAGGTAATAATATACTACCGGACAAGTCCAAGAAAATTTGCGAAAAATTATATGGACAATTTATGGATTGGAAACACCAAAAACACATCGTCCTTCTCAGAAAATGTTTTGATAGTATATTTTGAAGAATTACAACAAAAAATGAAACCTTCAACTGTATGGATTACTCAATTATAAAATATCTATTCAAAGTTAAGCATAATGTTGACATATCTAAATATCATAAGTTATATCAATGGCAGTAGAAAAAATAGTGTATGCAACTCTCATGTAATGGCCATTAATACACTCGCATATTATATACGAAACTCGCCTGCGGCTCGTTTCGTATCCTACAACATGCTCGTGTATTAATGGCTATCATTACATGATCATTGCATAATATACTATTTTATGCCGTAGAATCGATTTGAATACTAATAGGAATTGAAAAAAAAGAAAATATAAATAATGCTAGGCTAATCTTGGTCTTTTGTGCAAATTATTTTCATCGTCCGATGCTAGATTATAATGGCTTTCTTCCTTATCTTTATTTATTTATTTATTTATTTATTTATTCAAAGATATCAACAGCTTAAGCCAATTACAGATATCCACTTATCCAATAATAATAGTTAAGTAATAGTATGTGTCATGCTATAATATTAAAATGTTAAATATACCTAATCCTAACAATAAACATACAAATAATACAATTAAATCACCTAAATACTATTCTTCTTTTAGTTTGGACAGAATAAGTTGTTTAAACTGATTGTAACAAATGACATCAATGTCAATGTCACAAGCGTACAAGTTGAAAACATTGCACATTCTGTATATAGGGGAGTTTTTATAAAGATTAACTCTCGGATACGCCAGGTAAAATACTTTCGAATTACGCGAGTTAATACGATGAATAGCAAAAGGCAACTGGCTCAGAATATCAGGACTATCTATATTTCCTTTCAATAACTTAAACATCATGCAAAGCACTATTTTAATTCGTCTATGTTCCAAACTTAATCTATTAAATTCTCTCAAGAGTTGAGAGTTGTCATATCCAATCGGTGGATAGACACCGTGCTTTCTGAAATACATACTTTTTAAAAACTTCCTCTGCACACTCTCAAGCACTGTTAACCATACATTATATTGTGGGGACCATATTATGCTTCCATACTCCAATATGGGCGCCACAAGGCTGTCAAAGAGGTGTAAGCTCACATCCACTGAAAAGTCTTTAGAGTTCCGAGCAATGAAACCAGCCATCTTTTGGGCACTTTCAACTTTACTGACAATATGTTTAGAGAAAGATAGAGCCGAATCAAAAATTATACCCAAGTCCTTCTGAATGTTGACTCTATTAAGCGCAACGTCATTCAGTGTATACTCAAACTGTACAGCATTGTTATTAAGGGTAAAGGACATACATGAACATTTACTGACATTCAACTTAAATTGGTTGTCAATGCACCAGTTGGCGACATTACAGAAATCATTCTGAAGCATTTCGCAGTCTGCAATTGAACTAACCCGGAAAAAAACACTTAAAATCATCCGCAAAGAGTAGACCCTTGGCATTTTCCAATTTATTTATAATACTGTTGATGGCTATTAGAAAAAGAAGAGGACCCAGATTGGAGCCCTGTGGTACCCCTGAAGTGCTTTTATACACAGCTGATTTGCAGCCCTTCACTTCCACATACTGATGTCTTTGATTCAAATATGATCGGACTAGGTTTACCAGATATGCAGGCACGTCCAAGTCATTTAAGGCCCTTAGTATTATGCAATGTCTTACTCTATCAAATGCCTTTTCCATGTCCATAAAAATCACATCCACTTGCGACTTGCTGTTGCCTCATGAACATATTAACAGAATGTGATAAGATTAGTCATAGTTGATTTTTCAGGAAGGAAGCCATGCTGGCATGATGTAATCCTGTTAGATACTTCATTAAATAGCATATCATAAATTATTACTTCAAAAATTTTGGAAACTGCACATACGATACTAATAGGTCGATAGTTTTTGATTTCCTCTCTGGATCCATTCTTGAAGATTGGAATAACCTTACTGATTTTCCATTTATGGGTAGATTGATGTTCTCAAAATTAAATTAAACAACGCATGAAGTGGTTTTAAAAAATGATTGCTGCAACCTTTTAAAATATATGCTGGTATTCCATCTGGACCAATCGCCTTATTAGGTTTAACTTTTTTTAGAGCCACTTTAATCATTTCAATAGATATCTCCTTCTGACAGAAAAATGACATGGAGTTTGTAGAATTGCATGTTACATCAGGATCATTGATATAAACTGATTTAAAAAATTTAGCAAAACCTTCAGTTATATTTTGCGTGCCAGAATAAGTTTGGTTCTCAAAAACCATTTCTTCAAGGATGTCATGGTTGTCTTTCAGACTTTTAACATAAGACCAGAAAAACTTTGGATTTGACTTCAAGCTCCTTTCAACATTATAAAGGTATTCAGTGTGATTTAGCCTAATTTTTTGTTTGATGGTGCTGCGCAGAGCAATATATTTGGATTTCCAGTACTGAGATTTATAACGCTTGGACTTTAACAAATAGCTATGCTTAAGTTTAATTAATTTAATTATTTCGTTGTTGAACCAGACTGGATATTTCTTGTCGATTTGTGTCGATTTTGGCACACACTTTACAAAAATGTCATTGAGAATAGAGTAAAAAAGATCCATTGCCACATTTACATCAGAAATTTCATCTATAATAGCCCAGTTTTGATTTGTAATAAGATCATACATTAGCAAAAAATTTGCCTTTCTAAAATTAAACTTTGTAGTGGACACAACTTTGCAATATTGAATTGGCGTTTTAGTATTAACGGTAACACACAAGCAGGGATGATGACTATCTACAGGCAATACACAATCGTCGGACCTGGCAACACGAACATTATCAAATGATACAATCACAAGGTCCAAAATTACATTATTTAGATTTTTAACTTGATTTAGCTGCCTTAAGTCATTAAATGCTAAAAATTCCTTTAAAACATTTAGATTATAGTTACACGAAAGCTGATTAACATAGCTAGGAATGTTAAAGTCCCCAACAACTATGCATTCAGACCTAAGTCGATCAGCTAAAAATATTTCAATTTTCTCAAAAAAAAGATCATACACGTTCCTTGGACTGTTGGGAGTGATGTATACTACAACTACATATAATAGATGATTACTATCCAGTCTAATTCGAATGCACAATGCATCCCGATCATCGTCAAAAACCTTAGCCTCGTCAACAATAAGATTGTTTTTTACAGCCAACAGAACTCCTCCCCCTTGAGATTTACCGGTCACAATCCTATTTCTATCCTTCCTAAATGTAGTTCTGTCCTTAAAATTAAACTCCCCCGAATAAATTGTTTCATTCAGCCAAGTTTCAGTTAATGCCACAACTTCACAATCATTGTTTAACATATTATATTTAAGTTCATCTAACCTAGTTTTCACACCCCGACAATTCTGGTAAAAAATCATAATATTATTGTCTAGGTAACTATGGTTGTGTTTAACTCCTGCTGAAAATTTGAATTAGTAACTAAATTGGGCGAAGAATCAGTCAATTGAGAACCTGACAAAGAATTATTTTCATAAAAACCATTATTCAATGGAGAAAGTGAGACATCTGATATGATCGGAATATTGTTGCTTCTCATAGAGGAATCGTCATTGGCATAGACAACACTATCCTGGAGCGTAACAGAGATCAAATTTTTCGAGTTTGAACATTTAATTTGGTTAAGTATTAGTCCTGATATTCTACGATTAGTATGAATTCTTCCCAAAAAGTTGCAGCTATTTATGAATGATACTTTGTTAGAAGAAAATTTATCAAAATTATACAATAAATTACTTAGCTTACTATTCAAATTATAACACTTATTAACATACTCAAAATGAATAGGAACAGACAAGACAATGACATTAGTATGAACACATTCTTTTAATTTATCAAGTACGTATGAACAGTTAGGAGATTTGTTGACGCAAAAGTCATTATATCCGGCGAATACAATAACATAATCATTCTGATTAAAGTCTTTAACGAAAGCTGAAATATTATCGTTTATGTCCTTGAGGAGAGCAAAAGGTTTGATGACACTTTGCACCATGAATTGATCATGATCCAGCATCTGGTTCAATTTGACATCAAGTCCTCTGCCCATCTGGTCACACAGGAGTAATACACGATTTTTACCGTGGGTTTTAGCTGGAGAGTTGATTTTAGTTTTAGTTGAAGAGATCGATTTTTTTGGATACGGGTTAAGGTATGATATGTCTGTTTGAAGGCTGATATCAATTCTTTCAACAAAGGACGTTCTTACGACAGGTTCACTATTTGTGCTCAAGCTTTGTGCAAATTTGATATTTTCTTTGGTTAACGAGGAAATTTCATTCAGTAGTTTATTGTTAAGGTCCTTAAGTTTATCTCGTTCAACATTAAGTTTAAATAGTTCAGCATTAGCAGTCTGAATTTTTACTAGATGGCCTTTATTTTCCACACTTAAATTGTAACTTGCCTTCAATTGATCAGCTAACTCCTTTTCAATGCGATTATTTGCAAGTTTAAGTGACTGAATAGTTAATTCATAATTATTCTCCGCCTCAATAACTTCTGCATCAAAATCATGAGTACGTCTCTGGAGGCGTTTGATATGATCATCTTTCAGCTTGTTGTCATTACTGAGTCGGGTTAACTCTTCGCTAAGAGAAGATTTTAGATCTTCTAAGTCTGTCTCCAAATTACTAATATAGTTATTTTTTCGGGCAATTTCAATTTTAAGTTGGTCATACCTATTAGAAAGGTGCGCGACTTCAGTTAAGCTTGTCTTACACTCCATACAATAAAACAATAACTTCCTATTTAGCATAACAATTGCGTCTGCTTCGGTGGTCGAAAGGTCTGCGCAGTCTTTACAAATAAATTGGTGGCACCTATCACATGGTGCTCCAAAAATTTCTCCCTCTTTAACATTAGGGCAACGTTTAAGAATGCATACCGTGTCACAAACTACACAATTAGTAGCCATGTTCGGTCACCAACAATTATTATTACAATACATACATTAAAATAATTTAAATTATTAAACAATATATAAAAGCACATAAAAGAGTTAATAGTTGTTTTGTCAGATTAGAAAAAGAACTCTGATCAATTTGGACTCTACATACGATGAAGCACTTCTGAGTAGTAAAACAAAAATTATAAAGATAAATCACAAAAATATATCACAGCGGCAACATGGCATGGTCCAAAGTTCAAAATAAACAAATCAAGGATATGCACAATTTTTGGTGCTGCTGATAAGGAATGCAAATTGTTTATTTTTTACTCTAGTCCCACAAAAAAAAAAAAAGATTTGTTTTAAGAATCTGCCGGCTCACCGCGAGAGTAATCCAGCACACTTTTTACACAGTTAAAAGCATCACCGCATATGTTACTATATTACCGAGTCTTCCGGTGATTTAATCAACTTTTAACACTCTTTCTTACTTTTTGCTGACAAATAGATCAAAATGAAGTGTTAATGTTACGAAAAAAAAAAAAAAAAAAAAAAAAAAAAAAAAAAATCTTCGCAAACACCATCACTATATTCGTCTTGTAATTGGTTTTCTGACTCTAAGGAAAGTTTAAGTTCAAACAATTATCAATAGTAATATAACTAGTGCAAATTTGATTATTGATAATTTTTGGGAAAGGACCCCGCACACTTCTTATGGGATTTTGGTTGAACGCGGAATTTAACCAAGTTTTGGTATGTTGTATATTTCGACCTCCTGAGTAAAAGTTCTCATGGGTACAAACCGATCCTATGACTAGTTTTGGATATACAGGGGGTTTTCTAATACTACCTTAGGCAACCTAAGTACCTATATAAAGTGTACATAAAGCAAAAAAACTTTATAAACTGTTTATTTCATATTTCCTTAACTAAAAATGTTTAGTAGGTGTTCGTGACTCTTCATTTATATACCAGGGCTGCTCAAAAACTATGGCTATTACTAAGCTAAATGAGTTAATGGCCAAAAATGTTCAAAAGTGTGAAAAATTGTGTATACTTGTAGGTACTCAGATACCTACGTTTTGTGATAAAAGTGATTTTCTATCTCGATGAATTACAGTTCTCGCTACGCTTGTGCTAAAAACTTTTTGCCTCCTGATCCCTTGGCCTAGGGTTTAAGTGTTTGGATATTAGGTATACATACACTTGGTGATTTGTTTTGAAAATCTAAACAGCTATAGAAAGAAAAGAAATGAAAATTGTTTTTTCATATGTCATATTTCACTTGGTAACCATGGAAACGAAATTGTCTTTTTTGTCACCTTTCTTGTGAAAATGGCAGTTCGGGAAAGGTAATGTGCTGCGTGTGCAATAAAGGACTAGAGTAAGAGTAAATCGCACTGTTTTATCACTGGAAGATGCCGAAGTCCGTAGATTGGCTGTAAAGCGTAGAAACGAGTTAGGATTTGAGGATGAAAATCTTATTGTTAAGAACTCAAGGTGTATTTTGACATTGAAAACTTTGAAACATAAACAATAACACTTGGCCCTGATTGGTCGGAAAATGAGGTGTCCCTGCAGGTTGTGATCAGTTTTAAAATGCATGAGGTGCAAATGGCATCTTGCGACCAATAAGCGGCATTGTTTATGTTTCAAAGTTGACAGTGTTAAGTCAAAATCTATCTTGGGAAAAAATACAAAATATAGTTTGTCATACTTCTATTTGTGTTTGTTTTAAAAACACACAAAGGCCCACCAAAATACCCTCGTACATTCACATATATATGGCCATTTCCACGGCTATCACTTAAGGGATATTTGATCTAAGTGGAGTTTTGAATATGACTTTTGTTTCTATAAGAGTCACATTCAAAGCTCCACTTGGATTAAATATCCCTTAAGCTATAGCGGTGCAAATGGCCAATAGGCACCTGACTAAAAACATGACCCTTTCTGTAAAAGGTCTAAACTTATTCAACATTTTTTAAAGCTACCTACCACAAATAAACGCAAAAAGCATGAAAATTCAGTATTTTCAGGTTGCCTGAGGTAGTATTAGAAAAACCCCCGTATATCCGAAACTAGTCATAGGATCGGTTTGTACCCATGAGAACTTTTACTCAGGAGGTCGAAATATACAACATACCAAAATTTGGTTAAATTCCGCGCTCAACCAAAATCCCATAAGAAGTGTGCGGGGTCCTTTGCCTGAATGCATATTTTCACGAGTGCACGTAGTGCACGAGTGCCTTTTTCAGTTAAAAACGCATAAGTGCAAATTTGTCGAAAATTATAAATATATTTCCATTGCACAAGTTGTATTTAATGAGAGAATTTCATAAATCAAAAATTTAAATTTTTTGTCAAAAAATGTCAAAACACCAGTTTTCGCACCAGTTACTATGCAATTATCTGATAATTCGCACTAGTGCAAATTATCGCGTAATTGTAATCTGATTCAGTTGCGTATCAACCCAGCTCCAGGCCTGTGTGCCAAAATTTTTGCGGGCCCATCACAAGTCCCTCGCCGGAGGCTAAATTTTTTTTTGAGTAACCCAAATTTCGACCCAAAAGTCGTTCAAAAAACAATCCTAAAATTTTTTATTAGGTAGGTATTTTTATTTAAACGTTGAATTGTGAATTCACCATTTTTAAAAGTGGTATGAATAATAATTATATCCTGTTCACAATCCGATGTCCACAGGTGCAGGTAAATTTATCACCATAGGCGCAACTAGGGGAATGCTTGGGGGTGCTAAGCACTCCTAAAGCAAAAATTAGCACTCCTATTCGGCATCCCACCATAGCACTACCTAACACTTATATAAAAAATAAGTGCAACCAAATTATTTTATGTATGTTTTTGCACTTTTTGTACTTACTTACGTCATCGATGACGTCATAATTTAGAAAAAAAGTATTTCTCGTTGATTAATTCATAGAGCACGTTCGCAATTATTATTGTTGAAATCAAGACTTACCTTGAAATATACGGTTTTTATCTTATATTAACATTTAGGATGACGTCATCCACCGGCGTATCCAGCCCATACGTCTGGGGGGGGGGTAATCAACCCAGGCCAGCCTGGGTGCCACGCCCAAAAACCTTTATTTTGAGCCTTCAAAACATTTTTTTTTTCTATAAGAGTGAGGAAAATTGCATTTTCCGCACTGTTAAACAATGCAAACAATGGGTAAAATGGATTTTTTCGCACGGTGCGGCGAAATTTTTTCCGCACGGATATCGGTGTGGAAAAATCTTTTCCGCACGGCTGTCAAAAAAAAAAATCAATAAGTTACTACGAATCATGTAGGTATATGCACTTATTTTATTTCCACACCTCTGTAGAAAAACTAGCTGAGATCGGAATGGTAGAAAGTGTCGACACTTTTGACACTATTGACACTGTGGCGTTCGTTAATGGGGTAGTAAAGTGCGACAAGTGAGTGAACCTGTGTGGAAGGAATGCGGGCAGAACCCTCCTGATTGGCCCGAGATTAAATATACATATACGCGGGAACGCGGGTCGTCGCGTCAGGGTAACCGCAATTTTAGCAATGCACCACGTCGAGGACCCGTCGCGTCTTATAGTATAGGTTTTCGTCTTCCCCTCTGTTACTTCATACGTTACCAAGGTTCAGTCACTTGTCGCACTTTATACAAGTGATTTTTAGCTACTGCGTAGTGATATACTCGACGTATCGTACTATTTAGTGTAATCAATTGCTTTCTAGAAACCGCAATATCCTGGAATTTTTTTATTTTAATTTCCTCTTAGCCCCGCCCCTACGTGAAAATAAAAGTTCGTGACGTAGTTAGTTTTTCCAATCTGGCAACACATCACGGTTTTGAGAACGCACAATTTCATTGATTTGCACTGACATACGAAACGTCAAATTTACTACATCAAACAACTTTAACAAGATTGTTAACAAGTTACTGTGACAATGTCATATATCACACGATTCACACGACACCACACGTCGTCAATGAACTATAAACTACACGTATCTGGATTGGCACCGACCGTTGTCGGATATGGCATTTATATGGCATTTGTCATCTCGCTTAGTGCGTCCAAAAAAGCTACATAGTGGGGTATCCCTTTCTCTCTCCAGTTCATTGCTGTTAGGTTTGGCATATTCCTAACCTCGAATAAAATATTTTTTAGATAAGGAAAGATTTCCATGATTCGCCAATAAGATAAATAGAGATGTGTGTACCCCACATTCTCCATCTCAATCTGCCGCAAATTTATAGATCGGCGGGCCATTCCAGGTATGTACATGTGGGAACATCTTGGAGGAATTTTGGAGATCAGGGACTTTCTGGGTCAAGTTCGCGGATTTTATTTTGTAAGCCAGTGGCGCCCTATATAAAGCTAAAACTATATAATGATCCTACTCCCACAATGACTGAGTAGCTGCGAGCACTTTGTTGCGCTGGCCGCATTCCTTAAGGGTGTCTTACTGTACCTAGGCCTGTTAGGATTTATTTTTTCAAATTTAGTTTTCAAACAGTTTAAGGGTTGATTTTTGTGCAACAATGTGTCATTAATTTTATATCATATAATATATCACTTTATTAAGTTCAGTACTGCGAATTATTAAACCTCTTTCACAAGCCCCCTACAAGTTGTCTAAACTTATATTAGGTACCAAACTCTTGTATGAAATTTACCCTTTTTGGTTGCATGAGTATCGTTTGACTGTTTTCAACGACAGCGTATGAAGCTATCGAAGAAATTATGGATCACTAGACTTCACAAATCAATAATCAAATTTCAACTTATTTCTACTCTCGAAATTCTGCGACAGTAAAATAAGTAGAAAATTGACAAATTTACCGCAGAACAGAACAAATATAACTGAAATTCTTTTTTGTAAGAGAAAAGTTTTTGAAGGAAAATTGAAAATCAAGCGTCAACTGAAGAACAACTTGTAGATGTGATGACTAAAATTAAATTCCAGATCCTGTGTTCAAAAATGTAACTGATTTAAAAATGAGTTTCTAATATGAGAAAGTGTTGACGATAATTATTTAGTATATTGATTAATCTTTTATTTTGATAGTTCAATAATAAATATTATATAATAAGCCTCACTATTATTACTACTATCACATTTTACCGACTTTTGGAGTCTCAAAGAGCACACATTATGACAGTTTAATAAAATGTCAATTCGGTACTCACCTGACATTGTGGATATTGTTCCGCCTCTCTCCGTTCCACTTTCCAGCCCAACAGTGGCGGTATGCAAACAAGGGCGGCCGCCGCCCATACCGCCCCAATCCAAATTGCCGCCCTCCTAGGCGTCCGTTTCTTCAGATACGCCACCGCTTGCGTGATACTCCAGTACCGATCCAACGAGATCAGACACAAGTTCATAATAGAAGCGGTACTCAGCAGTACGTCCATTGCGGAATGCACGTCGCACCACCACGGCCCGAAAGTCCAGTATCCCATGAGCTCGTTTGCTAATGAAAAAGGCATTATGACTAGTCCAAGGAAAAAATCAGCCACCGCCAATGAGGCTATGAACCAATTTTGAATGTTTTTCAGTGATTTTTCTGTGGTTATGGCAATGATTACTAGCATGTTACCCACTATGACTACGATCATTAGTAAAGTGGCTACGATTGAGGCTACGACGATGTGCGCAGGCGTATAGCCTGAAGGATAACGATATTGGGGAGGAAGTGGAATGGGTCTAGTAGTCGAAATCGTAACATTAATATTTGTAGTATTCAAATTGTTCATCATCTCTTCAATTAGTGTCAAATTATCATCAGACATTATTTACTTGTTTGTTTGGTCCCACACTTTCTGTTCATTATTCATTGAAAACCTAATTGAGAAAACTTTAAAATGGTGTTTGAGTGAGCGAAATAATAAATACAATAAATTAAACCCTTATTTGAAACTATCTCAATCCAAACGACTCTGTATTTTTTTGTCTACCTTTTTCAGGAGTAAAATCCCCAGGAGACGAACATTCCTTTGCAGGGATTTCCTGAAAAAAATGTTATCTTTGGGGATTTCATTCGTCAGAAGAAAAAAAAAACAAAACATTGTTAAGCCTTTACTTATCGGATTTAGGCTAAAATGATGTTTTGAATAGTATTTCTATGCATTTACCAATCAAATTAAATTGGCTAAATCAAACTCCAGTTAAAGTAGAATTGCAAAAAATTCTACAAAACCCTTTCGGTTCATTGACTTCTATTTCTATTGACAGCAAAACTTATACATAAAAATCATATTCCAAGATATATCAAATATAAACCTGGAATTTTTTATGGTATTTTTGCTGTTCTAATGGATTGTTGATAATATATATAATTTACTTGTTAGGTGTTTGTAACAGGGTCACAAAATTCACTCAAACACCAATTTAATCAGCTTTCCAATTACATACAACACGCGAATACTAATCACTAATTATAGTCAATTAAGTCACTCTTTTTTTGCTAATTGTTTTACTTGATTTGTTCCCACTCAAATATTTCAATATACTTATTATATTACAACACTATTATAGCAATATTTATTATTTTTATTTACAGTTATTACCCGTAATTAACCGAAAACTTGCGTGTTAATTAACTAGAGAAAAGTTTCAAAAAAAAAAAAACAATATATATATTTTTTTGTCTCCGAATTATTATAAAAACAAAGAATCATGCGCGCACGCGCGCTATTTCATCATATTTAATTGACTTAATTATCTAATTAATTACTTAATTATAAATTCTATTAATTCCGGACGCGGCACCGTCGGCGTTCTTTTGTTTTTGCTCTAGGACGTCGCGACGCATTTTAAGTGTGATATTCGTGAGCGTCAGGGCGCTACTGTTAGAGCGTCGCGGCGTCGTCGACGTTGTCGAATGACGATCTTGCTTCCGCATGCGTTCTCTAATCTTTGAGAAGCTGAAGAATTTTCCAAATGATCAACAAACAATTTTTAAAAAATTGATTCAAATAGGTGCTGTTGAAAGTTTTCGCGTGATTGAAATTACTAGAAAGCATACTGGAGCAGTGGCGTACCTACCGGTGTGCCATGTGTGGAAAATACGTCCCTGATGCAATTTTGATGCGTTGCTATGACAAAAGTGACAGAATCTCAGACAGAAGTGTCGTAACAATATAGCGGAAGTGGGATACGCTTTTTTCTCCCTATGTCGCCTCCTTATTATTCTACGTCAATGATTTTTCCTTAATTTTGCCTAAATACGTCAATTTTTTTTGAATTTTTCCTGGAATGATTTTTCACTGGAAAATTTCGAAATTTCCCTATAATGAGTTCCTCACTTTTCTCTTTATCCTGGAAAATTTTCAAAATTTTCCCTTTAGCAGTTTTCCAAAAAAAAAAAATTTAAATGTGAAAGGATGAATTTTGCTTAGAAAAGTCAATTTTCCAGAACTATCCTATCGACTTTCCTTAGAGTGATTTTTCACTAGAAAATTTTAAAAATTTCCTATAATGAACTCCTCATTTTCTTCTTTCTTCTGGAAAAATTTCACAAGTTTTGCTTTATTAGTTTTCCAGAAATAAATTAAAATGTGAGAGGATGAGTTTTTATTAATTTTACTTGAAAAAATCATTTTTTCAGCATTTTTCCTGGGGCGATTTTTCATTGGAAAATTTTGGAATTTTCTTATAATGAGCTCCTGACTTTCCTCTTTTTCCTCTTTTGCCAATTTTCCAGGAAACAATTGAAATGTGAGAGGATGAATTTTCCTTAATTTTACTTGAAAAAGTCAATTTTCCAGAATTTTCCCAAGAGTGATTTCTCACTGAAAAATTTCGAAATTTTCCTATAATGAGCTCCTCACTTTCATCTTTTTCTTGGAAAATTTTCAAAATTTTCCTTCTGCCAGTTTTCCAGAAAAAAAATAAAATGTAAGAAGTGAATTTTCCTTAATTTTGCTTAAATAAGTCAATTTTCCAGAATTTTTTATGGAGTTATTATTCATTTGAAAATTTTTGCAATAATTTCTGTAATTTTCATAGTTTTTCGTAATGTCCATAATTCTCGTAATTTTTCGTTATTCCCGTAATTTTTCATAATTTCCATTTTTCGTAAATTCTGTAATTTTCTGTAATATTGAGAAAATTTCCGTAATTTACGAATAATTCCTGTAATTTTGAATAATTTTGAGTAATTCTTGCATTTTTGGAATAATTCCTGTAATTCCCCTATTTTTTTTGTAATTTCAGAATATTTTTTGAAATTTTGAATTATGTATAAGGTACCTATTCCAAATAAGGCTATGTTAAGAAGTTTGATTTTTTCTTAACGTTATCCACCAAGCCCAACAAAAATCACGAGCTTAAATGTGAAGTGTTTTGTTTCTATTACTTAAATATTAATGCCAATTTATTTGATTTTTAAAAAAGTGTTGGTTTTTGCATAAAACAAAGACGCTTACCATTGGCCTTATTTGGATCACTATGCTCCTAATAAGGCCACCATTAAAAAATGTTTAAAATAAATATTTACAATTATTTAAAAATATTGTCACGATATCGTCCGCCAGGCTGTCAAGAATCGATGGTGTAAATACTAGAATCTAGCGAATTATTCTACTTTTATCTGGAAAATTAGATTATCGTGTGTATTCTAGATTTTACAGGAATAGAATTAGGGATATATAAGAAGGCCGGCATTGATTTGTAAGTTAGTTTCAGTTCGACTGTGATACGATTTAAATAGTGATTGTAAAGAGTTTAATTGTTGAGTTTGTTAATAAAGTAATTAGTGTCAGAGTGTTTTGTTAAGTGGAATAAATTATTGCTGTGTTAATTGGACTTTGGTTTTTGGAATAAACGAAACGAACAACGAACCCAAGATTTTTGTCAGCAGGCAACCCAAAGCCGCGACATTGGTGCCAAGAAGTGGGATATAAAGGACTGCAGAGTGAAATCCAATTGCGGAAGTGCGGGGACACTAGTGTAGTGTAAAAACTGAACACTAAGTGAACACTGGGACAGTTAGTGCAGTGCAAACAGTGACAATCACAAAAAGAGACTCAACCGATCGTGTGAATTACCCTGGAAGTGACTCTATACCCGATTTAGACTGTTATATGTTCGAGTGAGTTCTAGAAAATTCTATTTGGAAACTAAGGGAGATATCGAATTTGTGACTTCGCCGACGTATTCAGAACATCAATCGTCATTCAGAAGAGGTTTTTCGAGGAGTTTCGGGAAAATTCTAGAACATTCTATTTGGAAACCAAGGGAGATACCGAATTTGTGACTTCACCGACGTGTTTGCTGTATCAATCGACATCTAGAAAAGAAATTTCAAGGAAATTCCAGAACATTCTATTCGCGAATAAAGCAAGTTATCCAATTTGTGACTTCACCGGCGTGTTGGAACTTCGAGCACAGACCAGAAAAGATATTTGAAGAAAGTTCGAGGGAAATTCTAGAACATTCTGTATATGCCTATCACAAGACAACAAGCCAAAATGGACGAACAAAAAGTTGAAGAACTCCTGCACAAAATGTTGGAACTTCAAGAGACCAAACGACAACAAGAAAAACAAGACGAAGAAGCCAGACGACAACAAGAAAAACAAGAGGAAGAAGCTAGAAGACAACAAGAAAAATAAGACGAAGAAGCCAGACGACAACAAGAAAAACAAGACGAAGAACTCAGGCGACAAAAAGAAAAACAAGAAGAAGAAGCTAGACGACAACAAGAAGAAGCTAGGCGACAACAAGAACGGCAAGAAGACCTTGCAAAACTGCAGAAGATATTCCAAACCATACAAGGAACTGTCGCTAACTTAGACCAGAAGATTGAACAAGTTAAAGACAATGTGCAAGAAGTTAAACACGACGTCTAGGAAGTAAAAACTGAAGTCAAAATCGATGTTCAAGAAGTTAAAGACGATGTAAGAGAAGTTAAACACGACGTTCAGGGAGTAAAAGCTGAGGTCAAAGCCGATGTTCAGCAATTAAGACAAGAAGTTGAGGACCAAGTTCAAGCACTCGAGGATAAGATGCGTAGATTAGAAATACAGTCCATCAATCCAGCTAGTGTTGGAGCATTCTCCAGTATGGAGATAAAATCACCAACTTTCGACGGTTCTACGTCCTGGACCATGTATATTCGACAATTTGAAGCTGCTACAAATACCAACGGATGGAACGACCAAGAAAAAGCTACAGCACTAATAGTGGCGCTACGAGGACCTGCCTTAGACCTTCTTCAGTCCATTCCTTCAGTCTACCAACAGAATTACCAGCATCTTAGTCAAACTTTAGAACTGCGCTTCGGAGACCATTACAGACAAAAAGTATTCAGAACTCAAGTCAAATCAAGAGTTCAAAAACCCGGCGAGAGTCTACAAGAATTCGAATCGGAAGTTAAAAGGCTAGTGAGTTTGGCGTTTCCTGCAGCTGGGGAAGACATGCAGGAATGGATGGCAGTATCTGCGTTTATTGATGGTCTCAGAGATTCGAAGATCCAGGAAAACCTAAGAATGTCCAAGTTCAGACAAAGTAGCGAAGCCCTTGTCCGAGCATTAGAACTGGAAGCAATCTTTGGTGCCTCACGACCCAGAATACAAGCAGTGTCCATTGAAGACCCAAAAGATAAACAGTTGTCAAAAGAGGAGGGTAGCTTCGAAACTAAAATCAGTAATTTCATGGAGAGAATGGAGAAACTGTTACTAGAAGATAGAAAAATGGGAAACGATTCCAGACAAACACCAACACCGAGAAACCGAGTAAAATGCTACCGGTGCCAAAAGCTTGGACACATGCAATGGGATTGTAGACT